CTATGTATTCATGCAGGTATATTTATACATTATGCTATCGATTTTATATATACTTACTTCTATAATATTTGCTTACCCCACTGTGACAGTGATGATCTGGAAAGTAGTAGCAGTGGCGAGGACAGTTCCAATTCATCACCTGTCTCTGATCAGTCTACGAGGAGTAAAAAGGTCAAATTGCAACACAACGAGCAACAGGGGAGGGAATCTGATAGCCAGGAGGAATCGGAAAGTGAATCAGGAGAGGACGTTGATTTGGAGAGTGATGAACACTTGTATAATTACAATAACAGCCCGGTATGTGAGTTTGTATTAAAGTGTTGTGAACAGTTTATCTTGCAAACACGTGTTATTTTGTATCCTTGGGATACACACGTACCACCTTCCTCTATCAGCGCCTCTCTTTCATTAAATAATCACAATACTATTTTTATTTTTAGTCTATGACTGCGAATCATAGACCGTGTATTCGGTTTAATATTATTTTTATTTCTATCCACTAGATATATACTTCGTCTTACCAGAACGTCAGTCTAAGCGTATCTTGTCGCTCACTATCTCTTCCCCCCCATACCACACACACTTCATCCCACCCACAGGCTGCCGCAGGCGTGATACACAAAATCCTAATCACCAACTTCATGTGCCACGAGAAGCTTGAGGTCAGGCTCAACCCATGCGTCAACTTCTTCACGGGAGAGAATGGCAGTGGCAAAAGCGCTGTCCTCACAGCTCTCTCCATGTGTCTGGGTGCCAGTGCAAAGGGCACTAATCGAGCCCTCAATGCTAAGGTAAGCTCATACACACAGTCTTGGTTGGTATACTAGCGAGTGGTATGAGGTGTGTACATGGGATCAGTGCTAAGGTATGCCTATATATTTAGCCTTGGGTTGTATATTCGTAGGTGCATATATAAATTTTTGAGTGCAACAGTGGTCGGAATCTAGTTCAAATTGTTTGCAATCGTGACTGTGTGACTAAGGGCCTGGGCCCGTGCTTCTTTGTCTGCCTTGTTTTCTCTCGTTATGACTTATTTTGTTCTATTTTACTTGGGGTTACTTTGTTTTTCCTTATTCTTATTTTGTCTTATTATTTCCAGTTCTTGCCATTTTCTGCCTTGGTTGGATTCATTTTTCCTCGTTGTGTCTTGTTTTACTCGTTGTCATGTCTCTTTTTTTTTTGCAGTGAGCACTTATAATGGGTGTGTATATACTATCGTACAGAACCTTATCTTCCGTGGGAAACAGAAGGCGGTGCTTCGGGTAGAAATTGCCAACAAAGGCGAGGAGGCCTATCGACATGATCTGTATGGGGATGTGATAGTGGTGGAGAGGACTATCTCACACAAGAGCAATGGCAGCTACACCCTCAGAGATTACACTAACAAGGTAAAAAATATTCTCCGACATGTATGGCACACTCTTCACAAACATACTTCTACACGTTGCTGAGCACACAAGACATATTACTGCACATAATTACATATCCATGTCAAATATCATCATTTGCTCTAAAGATCATTTAGAACGGACGTATTTTCTTCGTGGTATACAGTGAGGTTCATTTGCTATGATGTGGCCAATTTATGTTGAATGCTTATATTATTGTATTGAAAGACCAACGCCGGGTATCATGATAGCTTCTGTGTCGAAGCACAGCTTTGCCTGTAATATATATGAGTGGTGTCATTGGTTTAACTCGAGAGAAGAATTTAGCACAATTCGCGAATTCTCAGCAGATTATTAGTCTTTCAATAGTCGGTTTCGAGGCCGAGATTGGTACCCTCATACAGGCGTTTTATTTCACATTTTGTATCGAAGCAAGGGTGGTCTGTGTTTTGAAGCCTGCATGCGATGCAAAACTAACAACAGTGTACGCTCGACCTTGATATCGCACAGTTGGTGAGCACTAAGAGGAAGGATCTATCAGATGCGCTAGACTTTTACAATATACAAATAGACAATCCCGTACAGGTGCTGAGCCAGGATGACAGTATGTAGCTTGTGTGTGTCTGCGTGTGTGGATGTTCACGTGAATTCTTCTGTATACATGTTTATATCCTGTACGAATGCTCAACTCGCACTCAATTTTAGACTTCTACAAATTCCAAGCAGGTGATCAACGAGATACCAGCAAGGAATGTGTTGCTCTTGTGAATTTCTATGTACATTTTCATAGCATGCATTTAACTACTCGAGGTAGTGCGCAGTTTTACAAGATAAACAGTCTTTGTTGGAGTTCAATCAGGATGTCTAGTATTGCGCATGTCTGCGTATGTTCCATATAT